GTAGTGTCTTGATGGTACATCGGTGGAACTTGAGAGGTGATATTTACAGAAGAAACAGATATCCTAACCCTAATCATCCTGCAGAAGATAGATAACGCTGGGCATACACAGCAGATGAGAAGGCAACTAATGTGTTTACAAGAATTTTATGTCCTCTGCTTGATCAAGGCTGAACATTTGCACGAAGACTCTTTCCACTTACTCTCAAAATATACAAGAAAGTATTTTTTTAACTAATGGTTTGTACGATCTTATTTCCGTTGTCTTGAGTTTGTTTGGGAAATCTGTGTGCAGTGCAATTTTTAGTGTTTTATATTTTACTATGTCGAGATACTTGCTGCTTTGTACAGAGGGTTCTTAGGGTGTGTCTTACCATGTGAGGGATTGCTAGCAACTTACTGTATAAGGCATCCAGCTCTCCCCACAGCAAGTACCTGTTGATTTGGGATGTTCCTGCTGACCATGCTCTCTGCAGTGGAGAACTTCGAGGTGCAGCATTGCATGTTCTCTGGGTGCATCACCAAGGAGCTGATGGACTATTGCAATTCCTAAAAGGGCTCTACCATCTACTTGTCCTAGTGGGCATCATCCAGAGAGTGTTTCATTGGTTTCTAGTAGCTAAAGTCCATCTTTCTGCCTCGTCCCTTGCTGCACAAGTTGCAAAACCAAGGGGCAGGTTGCTTAGCAACTAATTTCTACAAAAACTGAAATACTTCTCTGGCTCAGAGCATTACAGGGAGCACACAGGCCTGCTTGAGTCTGATGAGGCTGACAGGCTGATTCAAATTATTAGCAACATGAACTTTTGGGAGTGTGTGCATGGAGGGGGGCAGGTTTAAAACTGGCCTAGGTCTGAAAAGTCTGGTTTACCTCTACCTCTACCTTGCACAGCAAACTTTCGGCATTTATACCTGTCTGTGTTATTGAAGATGAATTTGATTCTTCTGTTTTCCATACAGTTAGTCATATTTATTTTTTAAAATGCTGATGTTTTTTATTAATTTCCTCTATAGAGCAGAAACTGATATTGATGAATGATGCCCTTTGTCCTATTGTCATATTTTACAGTTTCTTTTAAAAATAAAAAGTATTTTAAAACCTGGATTGACCAAAATTACCTTTTTTTAGAAGGATGTTGTCAAGATGAATAAACAAAAAAGCTCTTTTTTACAAAGGGATCTTCTCTGAAGAATCAACTTTCTCTTCCTTTAACCCATTTCACTTTTCAGCATGCTGTTGCTGACACGCCTGAAGAAACTGGTGTAGAGTATACAACTGGAGACTAGACCCAGGACTTTCCTGTATGTCCTATGTAAGCAGGACTCATGGTCTGTAGATGCTGAGACACAGCACATCAGTAGTGCTCAGTCTTGCCCCATTTTGGGCTTTACTTCCTCCCTATGAAGTGGTGAGGCCATGATGTTTATCACTACGGAGCACATTGCTACCTAGAGATGACTGGTATTTTCCCTTGGTTGAAGGTGAAAGAAAATAAAGCTTCTCCTTTGTTTGCCCAGCAGTAATTCACTTTTGAGGAGACAAAAATGTTAACACAATCCATGGCATTAATTGTAGACCAGTGAGCTGCTGCAGTGAAGGGTGAGTGAACTTTCTTGTGCGTGCCACAGGGCTGCTACGTATTTTAAGGGGAAATTCTCTTCTTAAACATCCTATAAACTGTGCTTAAGCATTTTTCAGTCATATTCTCTGAAATGCTGTCACCTTGGCTTTTGTAGTCATACAGCTTGTTGGTATCCCTCTAGGCAGAATATTTAAAAGAATATTTTCAACTGTAATTCACACAGCACTAAAAAGATTATTTTTCCAGCTTGAATGTTAATTGTTTTCTAAGTCCTCCCACTTCCTTTCCTGGAAGCTAGGTGCTTGTTTCCCCTTGGAAGCCTTTTCGTTACACCTTATGCATGTTTTCTGATGTCTGAAGTGTGGTTGGCTGACGAAGCTATGCAAGATGAGCAAGTTGCCTACCAGTATTTCATTCCAGCTGGAGAATATGTATGACACATTACTGGACTATGCTGTGCAGACAGCATCTCTCATGGTGGTAGAAACATGGGAGCACTGAAGTGAATTGAAATCACTATTCAGCACTCTGTTCCTGAAGAGACACAGCAGCTGCAACACACTTGGAACTCCAGCATGAATTGTACTTACACTGATGGAGCATGGACTCAGCAAGCTGAGGGATCTGCCCCTGGGTCAACACCTAGTCTTTCTGAACATGTAACACTTGAACAAAGCTGAGGAGCTGACTCCAAAGGAGACTGAATTGGGGAGTGAGGTATGTTTGGACAGCTCTGCAGTAAACTCTTGGCCACCTCCCCCCCGTTCTCTTCCAAGGTGTCATGGTATCTGTATTACTTATGGGTGGATGTTGGGTATAAATATCCATTTTGCAAAATTCCCCTTGCTGTTCCTTCTGACTAAGCTACCTACAGGGTTATCTGAGTTTAAGCTGAGCACCCCCTTATCTCGCAGTCTTGGATCAAACTGTTCTTAACTTAGAAAACTATATAAACTGAAAGTGCGGCTGAGATGAAAAGGGAAATTTGTCCCTTTGCTATGACTTTAACAGCTATAATGTAGAGATATGAAGAGAAAATAGGTGTCTCTTTACTTCCCAAGTGAAACAAGAAGCATTTGACTCTGGAAGAGTTAAACCACTTTCCTTCCTGTTCTGCCGTGTTAGGATAACAATCTGTTTCTTTTGTCTTCTAGAGCCACACAAAAATGGATCCCTGTTGTCTGGTCCTTTTCATTTCAGTTGCTGAATAACAAATCTCAGCTATTTTTATGAATTGCATTATTGGGGCCGGGAGGGGAGATTCTTTTGGTACAGATGTAAACTATGCAGCAACCCATACAGACACCCACCCACACTCAAGTGAAGCAAAGTCCCCATTCCCTGGGGTTGCTGAAGTGCAGGAGCAGGCTTTCAGTGATATCTCCAGCTGTGCCAAGGGGTGTGCAAAGAAGGTTGGCCTTTGTATGCTCTTCACTTCAGAAAAAAATACTTTCTCTTCTCTCTTAGCTGGTGTTTGCTTGGGGAAAAACAGTATTCTTCAGCCATTCCTGGTTTTAAAATGAGCAGTACCTGTAGCACTTAGGCAGGTGATGGAACAGGCACTGATCACATACACAGTGCCTGAGCAGCTGACTTGAGCCACTTGTGTTCCAGGTGGCTGAAGGAAGATCAACCTGAGCCAAACTTCAGTCTTTTTAAGCTGAAAATACTTAGTAAAAGGAAAAGTATGTGGGCAACTGCTTGGAATGACAGCACTGATGATCCTTCCATCTGCAGGAGACTAACATCGTGGTTAGACAGGGCTGAAACAAGGTACTGTATAGGGCTAAAAGCCAGACAGTGTAACAGAGAATAATCCTGAATGGTGACATTATTGTGCTCAGCTGTTAGCACTCTTTACACTGCAGTCCAAGTGACCTCCCTACCTGGTCCTCTTGAACTTGAGGCCATCACCTGAATGTCAGCACATTGACTCTTATTGCACCAGAAGTTATAACTGCTTTGCCTGAGAGGGGTTGGCTGATAGTAAGGAGGTGGATGTCTGGACACACAAGAAGGATTGTGCATGATCCTAAAAAAGCGTAGAAGTGAGAAGTTTGTTTTATGCCAGTTGAGGAAATTGCTGTTAGAGAAGAATATGCCACTTTTTTTTCCAACTGTGTCCAGTTCTGGGCTTCCCAATACAAGAGGGAGGTGAAGCTACTGGAGAGAGTCCAGCAAAGGGCCCCTAAAATGATGGAGGTACTGGAACATGTTTTTCAATATACCGTCACTCTTGTCTCAAATATATATACTTATACACCCCCACACACAAAGAGAGAGAGATATCATTCCTTAGTGAATGCACCAATCCCTGTAAAGCTGCTGAATTCATTCGGTCAATGATGTCAGGCTCCATCTCTTGTAACAGTCTTTCAGAGCACGAGAGACAATGTGCAGTGTTGGATTGTTGCCTGCTGATGACACCACGGAACTCGTCTGGTCACTGCTGAGCTCATCTGGTTTTGTCAAAGTTTATTTTTTGTTGGGATGATGGTCGGAGGGAAGTCAGGGCCAGGCGCTGGTGAGCTAAAGACATCTACTTGGTGGGCTATAAAAGTGCTACATAGCAGGCAATGGCATCCAACTAAGTTCATTGGCTGTTTTCCCCTAAAATCAAATCCCCTTGAGGTACACATCGGACTTCCCCATCTTCCTACATTACCCAGCAAGTATATCTGGGTCCCTGAGCAAAAGCAATCTCACGAGTGGGTTTGCCTTTACCTGAAGCAGGAATTACCCAGACTGTCTTCCCCAGCAAATTCCTTATGTGCACCACAGGAATTTTGTCCCCCTCTACAATATGTAAAAGTTCTGACTGGGCTGGGCCAGCCCTGTTGGCAGATCCTCTGGGGTTGACCAACCAGGTGGCCTTTGCTAAGTGTGGATCTCAGTATTTGAAAGTCCCCCACCTCATTGCTCTCAGTGTAGTTTTTAATAGCCCATTGTACCGTTCGATTTTCCCAGAGGCTGGTGCATGGTAGGGGATGTGATATACCCACTCAATGCCATGCTCTTTGGTCCAACTATCTATAAGGTTATTCCGGAAATGAGTCCCATTGTCTGACTCCATTCTCTCTGGGGTGCCGTGTCGCCACAAAATCTGTTTCTCAAGGCCCAGGATAGTGTTCCGGGCAGTGATGTGGGGTACTGTGTGTGTTCCAGCCATCCGGTGGTTGCTTCCACCATGGTAAGCACATGGCGCTTGAATTTGCGGGTTGGTGGAAGTGTGGTATAATCAATTTGCCAGGCCTCCCCATATTTGTACTTCAGCCATCGTCCTCCGTACCAAAGAGGCTTTAACTGTTTAGCTTGTTTAATTGCAGCACGTTTCACAGTCATGAATAACCTGGGCAATAGTGTCCATTGTTAAGTCATGAGCCCATCTGTATATTGCATCTCTGCCCTCATGGCCTGAAGTGTCATGGGCCCACCGGGCCAAGAAAAAACCACCCTTGTGTTGTCAGTCTAAGTTCATCTAAGACCATGAGCTGACCAGCAGCCTATTCAGGAACCAGGAGCCATGAGGAGTGTAGAATTGTTCTGGGGTTGGGGTGGTAGATTGAGTCTATGAAGATCTGACTTCAGTTTCTTGTCCTCTGGTTTAATTGCCTGATAGTATGTATCTATCTCAAGTGGTGCTGTAAGAAATGCATTAAATGCATAAACACTTTGACGTTGAAAGAATGGGGAAGAGACAAGTAGGTACTGAGATGGTGCAGAAGAGATGTCAGACCCTGTGATGACTGAGGTTTTGCCTCTCTCCAGTTACTGGCTCCCTAGACATTAAATATCTGAATTTATTGAAGGGTTTATCACTTTTGTACTTTCCAGGTTACCTTACACATTTCTTTTCATCTCTGTTCACTGAATTCAGCATTTTTGGAGATGCTAATGAAATATAAACATTTTACCATGGGTGTTGTTTAAACCCAGCCATGCAGCTCGTTCACTCACTCCCCCCTTCTTTCCCTCCCCCTACTCCCGGAGGGACGGAGAGGAGAATGGAAAAGAATGCAACTCCCACTGGCTGAGATAAGAACAGTTTAGTAACTAAGGTATAACACAAATCACTACTGCTACCACCAGTAATAATAATGATAAAGGAAATAACAAGGGAAGAGAATACAACACCTCACCACCAGCCGACTGATAACTCTCCCCCCAAGCCTGACCAAGCTCTGCCCGATACCTCCTCCAACCCTGCAGTCTCCCAGCCCTTCCGGCTAACTCCCAGTTACATCCTGGGCATGACGTGCTGTGGTATGGAATACCTCTTTGGTCAGTTTGGGTCAGGTGTCCTGTCTCTGCTTCCTCCCAGCTTCCCCTCCTCCCTGGCAGAGCATGAGGCTCACAAAGTCCTTGGCCAAACCAAAACATCATTGTTATCAGCTCTGTTCCCGAGCTGAAAGTCAAAACACTGCACTGCACCAGCTACCAAGAAGGAGAAAAATGACTGCTACTGCTGAACCCAGGACACATGGGCCAGGGCTTCCTTCAGACGTGAAAGACCCATCATTAACTCTTCTACTTTGTCCTGTCCCAAGAAAATTCTGTGAAGTTGTCACCACCAAGTAATCAAGAAAGTTTCAGATAAAAATGGGTACATGATTCACCTTTTTCACTAATTTCAGGAGTGGTTTAGTTTTCTAAGGGCTGAGCATTGTTTCTCACTCTACTTGGCAAGTTATGTGCACCATACCGACCAGTAACGAGGGGTTTGTTGTCTTTCAGAATAGAGGGTATTTACATGGAAAAAATCTTGCTGGCTTTTGTTCATGTCAGTGTTTTCTAGGAATACAGCTCTGCAATTTGACCATCTTTTCTTCTAACTGTATTGTAATGCTTTCCAGTTCTGTTCCAGTGTGTAAATAAGTGTCTCCAAAGTAAATAAATAAATTGTGATATTTTAATCCCACCAAATTAATTTCTTTCAGCTGCTGGCTATTACTTTCCTTCTCTGTGTGTGTTGATTTGTAATGAGGAGTTGGGGTTACTGATTTTTGCCTGGACCCAATCACCTCCGTGTTTTGTGAGTTGTCATAAAACTGACCACTGTTGTACGAGCAAATGGTGTCATTCCTTTGCCATGATGAATTCTAACTTCAACCACCCAGCAGCAGGTGAGCAGCTGAGGGAAGCAGCATGTTTGGCCAGCGAAGGAATTCCAGGATTTTCTGTATTGCTCTAAGGCTCCCTGTGGATTGCAGATTCTCAACTGGAAAGTAAAGGCAAGATGCTCAAGAAGATGGTTTTTGACCGTCAAGGAAAACACCGCTTCCTGGGAGCTCCCTCTCTGAAGTTTGCAGCACTGCAGCAGGTTTTATCACTCTCTCTTTGTTCTGGCAGTGCTCTTAGCTGTGAAATACCACTGGTACTGCTGTCATAGCAAAGATTTGAGTTGTTCCTTGTGACGGCAGGATGAAAACCTGCTGAAGACCTGTGGCCCAGATGGCACTGTGTATCTTTGTAAGGCTTGTGCGTGAGCTTTTGCTGTGAGAGATAACAAGTTTCCTTCACAAGAACACATCATTTTTCCTAGCATTTATCTGAAGGCTTCCTCTAGAGAGAGGAAGGTAAATACTGACCTACTTCACAAATTGAAGCTCTTGGATTTGGTCACTTTTATTCCCAAAAGTGGTTCTTTTTTGTTACGCTTGCTCCCTCAACAGGCTCCTTGCCTTTTGAACGCTGTCTTTCTCTCACTGTCTGATCCTAGGATGACAATACAGAGTTTTCAAGTTGTCTTATTTGCATTACAAAATTATCTCCTGTAATCAGTCACTGAGTCTGGCTAAGCACACCCAGGACTGCCTCTCACAACCAAACAAGCGATGTAAGCCTGATAGACAAAGGGGAAAACACACTGAGCTGATCCAGGGGGGATGTGAAGCTTCCTGCTGTCAGTCAGAGTGGTAACAGCTTGTTTAAAAAGGCAGTGGGTGGATGTTGACCATCACTAATTTTAGATAACTAGGATCTGGTGTCAGGAGAAGTGGGGTTTAATTTTGCAGGCAGCATGTGAGAGCAACACGCAGCGGGAATGGAAGAAGGGCACAGGTGAAAGGAATTTAGGGATTAGACTAGTTTATAGCTGCCCTTCTCCACTAGAGTCAATAACCACAGGGTTATTCTCTGAAAGAGTAACTCCATGTTTGCTCTCCACCCTCCGAGTTAAATATTGGTTAATGAAAACTAGCACTGCTCCTGCTGCTCCAGTTTTAAAAATATGCTCTGTCTTTCCAAAAATAGAGATTGAATTGAGAATTGAAATGTCTGGCCCAGGGCTTGGTCCCAGCAAATAAATTGCTTACACTGAGTTTTCCAGCACTGACTTAAGTCTGTCTACGTTGAAGTCTACTGCAAAACTCCCCTCTCTGAGCCCAGGCAGCATATGTTCAACATCCCACCCGAGTCTTGTTTAAGAGGAAAGGGTATCCCTGCTTCCATTCTGTTCCCACTGAGGGGAACAGTGTAAGTGTGGAGAGCTGGGGTAGCACAGAAGCTGGTGGGTGTGTCAGTGCAAATGCATACAATTGGTATTTGCAGTTTACTCCAGAATAGCGACATATGTATGGGGATGTCCTCTTATTCAAAAGCAGATGACAAACAACTGTTTATGTGTTTTAATCAACTAATAAATTATGTGCTTACTCACCTACAGGTTGATTAAATGGTGAGGTTTTCTACAAAGAATAAACACGGTCCAGAAAGGAAAGTTGGGAGAAGAGGAAATGCAGTTTACAAAATTGTCCACTCTCTGTTATACTGACCTCCTAAAACTCAGTGGCCCTTGCACTACTGCAGCCAGCCCCACTGCACTGCTGCTGGGCTGAGCCCTGCCTTTTCATAGTCATAGAATGGTTTGGGTTGGAATGGGCCATAAAGACAATTTAGTTCCAACCCCCTGCCGTGGGCAGGGACACTTTCCGCTAGAGCAGGTTGATCCAAGCCCTGTTCAACCTGGCCTTGAACACTGCCAGGGCTGAGGCAGTCACAGCTTCTCTGGGCAGCCTGTGCCTGTGTCTCACCAGCCTCACAGGGAAGAATTCCTTCCTAATACCTAATCTGAATCTCACCTCTTTCAGTTTAAAATCATTCCTCCTCATCCTATCCCTAAAGCCCTAACAAAAAGTCCCTCTCTAGATTTCTCGTGCTCCTATAAACCAGTTGTGTATTCAAGCCCACAATGTGCACTGCTTAGCAAGAATTTGCACCATCTTCTATTCCTGCTCATCTGTCACCGGATGCCATTTTTCTGTGTCCCCTAAAATTTTATAGGTGGCTCTAAAAGTATTTGCTTGTGTGGAGGTACGAGTTGTTCTGAATGGCATTAACACAAAGCATCTCGCTGTCTTTTCAGCCCTATGCCACATTTACTTTTCTGGAAAAGGGCTGAAATAAAGTGACTTTGAGACCATAATATCAAAGTGTGGGAGACTCTGGATTTTGTTTCTAATTTCTGCCCTGTGTTTTAATTCTTTTTAAGTCACAAGTGCTCTCAAACCATAGTATCTGGCTATTTTACACTGTGACCAAACTTTGATTAAAGCAGTTTTGATACCTTTGGCTTCATTTTCAAACTGTGACTAAAAAGACAACTACAGGCTATTGAATTGCAGCAGTAGAGACTGTGGACTAAAATGTATGTGCTATATATATATTGTGCACTTTGGGGTCATTTTTATGAACTATTTAAATACCAGTCATTAAACTTTTATACTGCAGAGCTGAGTAGCTACTTGACTTAAATACTCAATAACACAAGTGTTTTTATTAGTCTTGCAGCTACTGGGTTGTGAACTGTAGTTACTGTACAATCTTCCAGCTATGCTCTTGTTTTCAGTAACTATATTTAGAAGTTTGAACCATATAAAATGTTAATACCAGACTTATAGGAAATAAATGTCTGTATAAGCCTTGCTGTTGTTTTTTTTTTTCACTGTAGTGCAAGAAGGAGTTAAGTTTCTAAAATGAAGCAACAATTTGAATCCTGATCCAGCCTCTTTAGTAGAGTTGTCACAGCCTGACTTGCCTCAGCAATGCTTATCATGGGAAAACTTATTTCAGGGCCTCTCTGACAGCAAAGCCTTTATTTCCAAGGAGAATGACAATAGGCTGAAAAGCAGGGTTTTTTCTAACGAACTGACACTTCATAGAATGTCTTTTAATAATGAGTAAATGCCAGCAGCCAGCAGAAAATCTTTCGGTTTCCCAAAAAATCCCAAAGATTTTCCTAAATTATGTAAGGCAGACATCATGCGCTCTCCTCTGCCCATCAGCATGGCCTTTAGCTACTATTCGCTGCAGAGAGCCCAGGAATGCCTGTGTTATGCCTAGGACTTTTGACCCAGCACACTGGTCTGCAGCTAGGTGTGCAGCTTGGTTGGGTGCTGTATGCAGTTTGCTATCAAACACACTAATTTCAGGAGAAAACGTGTTACCGCTATTGTCATTAATAGTCTTGGCTTTGTAGTGAATTTGAAATATGTAAGGCAAAATTAATCCCACTGAATGTCTTAGTCTGAGCTGATTGTCTTCACCACCGGTAGAAAGATGTAGGAATACAGGTGTTTTTCTTAGACTAGATCAAGTATATTGCTCTGAAAAAGCCTGTTTTCTCTCAACTGATTTACACTGAGAATCCCAATGAGTAATTCAAATGTTCACAGCCCAGGTAAGGCAAATCCCATCCTCTGTGTCTGGAAATACAGCCCTCTCATCAGGAGGTGGACTTCTCTAAAATCTGTGCCCCCAGTGTTCCCCCTCTTAATCCATTCGTAATGATCAAGGAATTCCCTTTGAACTCTCACAGAAATAGCAAGCACGGATGGCTTAGCATGTTATTTCTTGTCATGCCTACTGCCATGCAGCCATTTCCCCGCTGGATCCTGCCATGTCTGGTTGTGGTATGTGTTGAAACCTCCTACTTCGTGGTGTCTTGACACAAACAGGATGATATTCACCCCTGACTCCATAAAGTAATGTGGAAGGCATTTGGCAGCGTTCCTAAATTCTTGCTGTTTAAACATGAGGAAGCAGGTCACTTCTGCATACCAGCATTGATTTATAGAAACTGAATGCCATGAGGAATCCTTCCCTTTAAAGTAAGCAGGTGATGCAAGGGTGAGTTTCTGCTCCCAGTTGCAGGTTTGATCCCAGTCACCCTCACACAGTGAAAGAAGCCACCAGCCTGTCAAGTACAGTAGTCAAACATAGTTTAAAACATTTACTACTTCTTTCCTGAGGGCCACTGAGGGAATGCTCCTTCGTATTTCTCTGAATGTTTTAAATGTTTTGGGGTAACTTCCCCAAGCCTTGATTTTACTTTAATGCCTCCTCATTTTTCTTCCAACTCAAAGAACACAAGTTTACTGTGTCTTGAGACAGCAGGTGCATAGTCACAATGGGAAAGACTCTGCACCAGTCTCCCCCATGATGAGAACACCTGAACCCAATTTCTTTTTAACATTCTGATGGCATCCTTCTTCCCCTCAACAGCAAGCACACTGCAGTACTGTGCAGTTAGCAGCTTTGCAGTTACACTGTGTTGGCAATGACACTAAGTTCTTGCACGAGTGGATTTAAACTTCCTGGGAGAGCTGTTCCAGCATCTCCATTAGCTTCTCCTTGTCCTCGAGTGGACTGTGGGTGCTTGCCAGGGGTAAGTGCGTAGGGACTGGTTGCCTGGCTGGAAGACAAAAAATAAAAGCCTTTATGGATACATTTAACTACCTCTTCTATCACAAAGGAGGTGTATTCCTCAAGACACTATACCACCCAAATATACCTCACAGTGTTAAAGCTAGGAAACGTACACTCTAGGGATCTGAAAACACTGTTAGTTAAACATATCTTCTGAAACAGAAATCAAGTTAATTTAAATTGTATTCTGGGAATAGAGTTCTTGTCCTTTAGCACGGTGTGACTTAGACTGGGGAGCAAGAGCTCAGTTGTAGCTCGGGGCAGTACAGATAAAGGAAGGCCTTACTACGAATTTATGCCTCCTGCTCTGTGTCACTAGTGCAACTCCTGCAGACCAGTAACTTGAAATTATTGCTACAGGCAGAGGTTGCTTTTGCAGCATGAGACAGGATTTTTCCTTGCTTCCTGAATAATGTTTCTAGTGTTACAAAAATTCCCCAACTGGGACCTTTTAGTTTGGATTATTTTCAGTCTTATAATGCTTATTTTCATGCTTAAAAGTAATGGCTAAATTCTAAATGCTAAAGAACTTCAGCTAATTGCGCAATCACCAGAAGTAACATGTATTCAACATAAAGATGTCTGACCATATTTTCTCAATTTGACGCTTTGTTTGGTTTTCCAAATCTCATACTCTTCACTCACTCTGGAAATATAGCTATATCACCATCCATTACAAGGGATTTTTCTCTAAGGACATGGAATCTAGAGCCTGGGAACTTTGTGACAATGCTCTCAGATGTCTGTGCAACTACAGTCAGAGCAGCACTGTTAGTCGGTTTAGTAAATCCAACTTCTGCAGTAAGAGGCTGAGACCAGAAGAACGAGCTGTTGCAATACTGGGCAGCAGATTTCTCTGAAAACCTATCAGACTTCCCAGGGGAGCAGAGATGTTTGCTCTCTTAAGAGCAAATGTTGTAACTGGCTGCACACACCACATAATCTCTGCTCATGGAAAACTGAGGAGAGAGAGAAATACGAAAAGGAACAATTCCTTTTCCATCACTGAACCCGAACTGCTTCCTTCCTAGCCATAGTGCTTCCAGTAGCCTGTGCTAAAGTTTGGGAATTATGTGTGAAAGCCAAGTTCATCATCATGGAGAAGATGCTTCTCATGTTTGCAAAGCTGGATTGTGTCAAACACTTCCTATTTATGTTGACAAATGCAGTGAATCCTGGTTGTAGAAGTCTCACTTCATTTCATTTATTTAAAAATATTTTAATTTTTAATTAAATTAAGTTTTTTTTTAATTTATTTTAAATTTTATTTTAAAATAAAAAAGTTGACTTTGTTGTGCACTCGAAGGGAACAAAAGGAAATGGAGGGAAGGTGTGACTGGTTCAGCAAAAGTCTGTCTAGGGCCAGATGAGCAAAGGGACTAGATGAGGGTCTGCGGCAAGTGCTCCTGCACAAAAAGCCCTTTACTGAAAGGGCCTGAAGAGGCTTCATACTAAGCTGTGGTTTCCAAAGGGAAGTAGGAGAGAGAGAAATAACTGACTTCATCACTATTTGATAAGAGCTTTTTCAAATACATGGCAGACAAAACTAACACCAGAGGCAATGCAGGCCCACTGATGAACGGGATGGGTGCACTGGTGACAGAAGATACAGAGATGGCAGAGTTACTGAATGCCTTCTTTGTCTCTGTCTACTCTGCTGCAGGCAGTCCTGAAGAGCCCTGTACCTCTGATACCTCAGATGAAGTCAGGTCGACGGAGCGGTTTGCCTTAGTCGATGAGGAATGGGTTAGAGACCAGTTGAGCAATCTGGACATCCATAAATCCATGGGTCCAGATGGGATGCACCCGCGGGTGCTGAGGGAACTGGCGGAAGTCATTGCTAGACCACTCTCCATCATCTTTACCAAGTCTTGGGAAACAGGAGAGGTGCCTGAGGACTGGAGGAAAGCAAATGTCACTCCAGTCTTCAAAAAGGGCAAGAAGGAGGACCCGGGTAACTATAGACCGGTCAGCCTCACCTCCATCCCTGGGAAAGTGATGGAACACCTTATTCTTGGTGCCATCTTAAGGCATATCAAGGATAAGAGGGTTATGAGGGGCAGTCAACATGGCTTCACCAGGGGGAAATCATGTTTGACCAATCTCTTAGCCTTTTATGAGGAAATAACAGGGTGGATGGATGATGGCAGAGCGGTGGATGTGGTCTACCTTGACTTCAGCAAAGCATTTGACACAGTCTCCCACAGCATCCTCACAGCTAAATTGAGGAAGTGTGGTCTGGATGATCAGGTAGTGAGGTGGACTGCGAACTGGCTGAAGGAGAGAAGCCAGAGAGTTGTAGTCTATGGGGCTGAGTCTAGTTGGAGGCCTGTAACTAGTGGAGTGCCTCAAGGGTCAGTACTGGGACCGGTATTATTTAATATATTCATCAATGATTTAGATGAGGGAATTGAGTGTACTATCAGCAAGTTTGCTGATGACACTAAGCTGGGAGGAGTGGCTGACACGCCAGAAGGCTGTGCTGCCATCCAGCGAGACCTGGACAGGCTGGAGAGTTGGGCAGGGAATAACTGGATGAAATATAACAAGGGAAAGTGTAGAGTCCTGCATCTGGGCAGGAACAACCCCAGGTTCCAGTATAGGTTGGGAAACGACCTGTTAGAGAGCAGTGTAGGGGAGAGGGACCTGGGGGTCCTAGTGGATGAGAGGATGACCATGAGCCAACACTGTGGCCTTGTGGCTAAGAAGGCCAATGGCATCCTGGGGTGTATTAGAAGGGGGGTGGTTAGTAGGTCGAGAGAGGTCCTCCTTCCCCTCTACTCTGCCCTGGTGAGACCACATCTGGAATAGTGTGTCCAGTTCTGGGCCCCTCAGTTCAAGAAGGACAGGAAGCTGCTGGAGAGAGTCCAGCGCAGGGCAACTAAGATGATTAAGGGAGTGGAGCATCTCCCTTATGAGGAAAGACTGAGGGAGCTGGGTCTCTATAGCTTGGAGAAGAGGAGACTGAGGGGTGACCTTATTAGTGTATATAAATATCTAAAGGGGGAGTGTCACAAGGATGGAGCCAGGCTCTACTCAGTGGCAAACAATGATAGGACAAGGGGTAATGGGTACAAACTGGAACACAAGAGGTTCCACTTAAACTTGAGAAGAAACTTCTTCTCAGTGAGGGTGACGGAACACTGGAACAGGCTGCCCAGGGAGGTTGTGGAGTCTCCTTCCCTGGAGACATTCAAAACCCGCCTGGACACATTCGTGTGTAACATTATCTAGGTGTTCCTGCTCCGGCAGGGGGATTGGACTAGATGATCTTTCGAGGTCCCTTCCAATCTCTAGCATACTGTGAAACTGTGTGATAAGCACAGGACACAGACACAGGATTTCTCTTGCAGCCTTAAGAGTAGTTATGCCAAGACCAAAGCTCTCAAAAGTCTTAGCTATAGCTAAAGAGCCAAGGTGTGTCCCCTGTTTACTAAAGCTGGGGGTAGACAAAGGCTAAAGGGAAGAGCCTGGTGGAATTATGGTCTTAGAGAAAGAACAACTGAGCAGAAGCATTAGGACCAGAAGGTGACAGGAGTACAAAAAATGCAAAGTCTGGTCCTACAAAGAAGACTGACGAGCTCGGATGTGGGGTTTCTGCATATCCTAGATGATAACATAAAAGAAGTCTGGTCAAATACCTGTCAACCAACCCTGTGTGACTGTCTGGGAGGGGACAGAAGGGACAAAGTCAACCCAAATCCAGAAAAGTTTGAACTTCCGCCATGTTCCACCTAGAAAATCGACGTATCAGTATTTGGAGGCCACATCCAACAAAAGTACTGGGCTTGTGTAAGCAATTACCCTGAGCTTTACCCTTCTCCTTCTGCACTGACCCTCATCGCCATTAAGACATCTATGCTTCCAGCTGCTCCTACTAAGATGCCCGTCATTTGTCTGGGAGAAAAGAAAGGCTCTGTCCTATTTTTCAATTCGCTATGCTTATAGTGCCAAAAATGCCACTGTGCACAATATCCCAGTGTTAGAGAAAGGGCAACTGGCAGTTTTAACTATCATGGAATGGCAAGAAAAGCCTATCAAAGCAAAGCCAATTCCCAGTGCTCTGTGAGAAGGATGCTAATTTCTCAGCATCCTAAAAGACGGTATTTGACAGCTGTGATTCACCTTCTCTTGGCACAGTCCTGCTTACAGCTATTTTCATTAAAAAATGCCCAGCCCTCCCTAAAGAAAAGCTTTTAAGTCTTTATCAGCTACTTTAGAGGGAAAAAAAAGCCAGGGATTTAACACAGTTGTTCTCTGGTTGCACAATGCTCACTTGAACTTTTAAGCTTGGAACGATCTTGAGAAATACTTTTGAACAACACTTGCCTGGTCTGGCCTTCATCCCCTGCCAAACCAGAGGGGGATCCTACAGTTCAGGCAACTTAGGGATCTCCACTGCTATGCAAAGTAAGACACTGCTGCCTTACCTTGGAAGAACAATCCTCTCAGTAAACTCATTGCTTCAGATGATACTGCCATCCACACAACAGCTCCCTGGGCCTCTGTGCACAGGATATTCTTCATATTCTAATAGAAATAGTTGGACTGTGCAAAGATGTCAGATGTGGGAGAAACAGAAATACCCAAACTCAGGTATCCTAACAGGATTTTTAGCTCTTATTTTCTCACCATTTTTATGAAATCAGTTGCAGAACTGTATTTTAAAACTGTGCAGTCATCAGTGCCTAAACCAATTACATAATTCATGTTTAAACTCTGGTTTCCCTTTATTTTGTCAAACAGGTGATGACTGAAGGCCCATCCCTCATGGCTGTTTATTTTTGGGGGTTGCAGAGTCCTTGAACTTTAAGGCGGGATAACTTCATTAGGCTTGAAATGCATAAAGTCTATGCAACAATAAATGTATTTTAAAGACAAATACATTTAGCTGGAAAGGGCAGCTTTCAAGTGTAAAGTAGATGGGGTAAATGCTTCTGGCATCAGAAGCAAATGTGGGAAATTGTATCCCTAGAAAAGACCTAGAGACTGGATTGCTAGTCTGCATCCCAAGCTTGGGTGTTAGGGGCTGGTAAGGTATTGTGGAATGCAACATGCATACTGGATAACTGATGCCTGCCTGCCAAGCCATGGTCACTGAGGAACAGCTGCAGCTCAGACAAAGGGCTCCCTGGCCAAACATGCTGCTTCCCAACGGCAGTAAACGTTTAGAGGAAGGGGAGAGGAACAGAGCTTGCACAACAGTGCGTGCTCCGTTTTCCTGTATGTGCTCACGAACTCCCAATGTCTGCAGGTTGGTACTTACAGAGGCAGAAGCTCTATCTGTGTGTTTAACAGTCCCTCTAAAAACGTAACTTAAAGGTTAGCTTAAAGCATTGTGGCTGTGCCGTGCATTTGATCAGGGCTGGAACATTCATTGCCCATCATTATTCTCTGGATATACAAAAATAGCAGACGCTGTGCAGAGCAGAGCTACCAAGGGGGTAAAAAACTACTTTAAGCACCAATTTGGAGCCAAGAAATCACTGCATCTGTTGGAGACATCCACTTAGAAAGTTTTATTTCTCTTTGCCTTTAGACTAATCCTGAAAAGAAAGAATTATAGTCAGTCTTAAGCAGATACTATCTGGAGTGTCTGCCCAGCTGGGGTGCATAACAGAGAAACGGATATTTCTGTGAGCTTTTCCCCATTGTTCTGTCAAGACAACTTGCTATCTCCAGGACAGAGCAAAAATAGCCAGACTAGCATCAAGCTCAACAGCCTGTCCACCAAATTAGTTCCCAGGGAGATAAACTACATCAAATGTGCTGTAAACGCCAGGGCATTTGTGCATAGCAGAAATACAGCCTTGCTCATCCTGACTGGATCTATGGGACAATTTTGTCAGAGACCACCATGGTCATTGCAATCCATATCCTGGCCACAAGCTTATTTTTAAAGTGGTTACAGTGCTTTTACTGACCATGTCTGCTGCTGCAGACTGTAGGGAAGAACTGAGCAGGAAGAAAAGGGTTTGTCAGCAAGGGACAGTTTTCCCCCTTGAGAGTTATCTTAAATCAAATGAAAGTCTAGCCATGTTCTCCAGGCAAGATGGTATATGTTTGTAAGTCCATGCCATCCCACTCCTGAACAGTATTGTTTGTGTGTTTCTGTATAGGTTGGGTGCAATGTGCAAGCAGCGGTGAACACCTGGCTTTTTTGCCAAGCAGATGGTATAAGCCATCTAGCAAATGTGCTGGGATTTGTTTTAAAAGCATGAACTGTACCTTGGTTTGTGCATACATCATAGTTCCATCAGATGTCCTATTTCCTGACTACAAGTCAGGTATGTTTAGCACGGTATGTTGAACAAGCATGGCCCCAGAAGAGACAGTTATCTGTAATCAAAGGAATGAAAAGCAAATGAATGAAAAACAGAACCAGGAATTCCCCACAATTGCACTCAGGCATGCAATGGGGTCTTCAGGCCGTATTTGGAAGCACCTAGGGAGCAGGATTCTTCAGCATACTCTTTGCACCCTGCTTGTACTCATGTGTGGGGCTTACCTGGAGGTGAGGTGAAAAAAAACAGAATGTTTTTTTAGAAAGCAATTTTCATTCAAAGTGGGGTTGATTCCTTCAGGCAACTTTGTGCTTCTTCCCTTCCGAAAGTAATCGGGAGAAAGAAAACAGTAGAATTGAACTATTTGTAGTTGATAAGTTTAGCATTTATAGAAGGTAATTAGAAAATAGGAGGCTGTGTGAAACTTGGGAAACTTCATTTCAAACATATACCTGCTGTCCTATTTTACACCAAGATCTCTGAGGTTCTGTGCTCCTGTTACAGGTATTTTGCACTACACTGCAGGAGGTAACTTGCCCCAGGGAAAGTAAAAGGGGAAGTTTCCAAAGGAACTGTTCACTGATTTCCAATGAAGGGTTGAGAGGAGCAGGCAGGAGCTTTTGCCTTGGAGAAGGAGGTGGCCTTTAGCAAAATCCAAGAGGATTCTAGAGATTATAACTATTCCTGTATTGCCAGTGAAGTCAAAGAAATGCTGTCACAAACCAGAAGGTAAGAACAGTAAACCACCGCTTTTCAACAGCATCGAATACTCACCAGTCTGAAATCAGCTGCTTGTTCCAGGAGGGGCAGCAGAGCAGTTGTCAGAATGTAAGTACCTAAAAGACAGACAGGCACCAACACTAACTTTTGGTTTTAAAAAAACTTTCTTCTCTCCTCACCCTCTGCAACAACCTAAGCCCCAAAGTCTCTTTATTTCTGACACTTGATCTGAATTTGATGATGATTTTTGTCGCTGCTTTATTTGCAATATGCCAACTCAACTTGCAGGGGTCCACGTTGCTGCACATTTACCAAAAGGCCCATCAGTTATTTTATAGACTTTTATGTTTGCTGTACTTATGGAGCAAACTGCTCACTACATTCAGCCATGACTTTGAAGGCAAAATGCCTCAGGTACAGATGTCCTTGGGTGGAGGCGATGGCGGTGAAGAAACAGGGAATGCATTTCTCCTCCCTGTGTGACATACATACGTGTGTCTATGCCAAGTCATAAACAAGAGAAGCAAATTGTGCTTCACACTTGTGTTTCTCAGGGCCTTGCATGTTCACTTAAGACTCACCCATTTTTGCCTTCTCACTGTGAAATAACTTGGAGTACGCTGGCACTTTTGATTTGTGCTGCACACAAAAAATGTCTCTTAAATCCCCAGCATGACAATTAGAGAAGGTAAAGGAGTCCTTGGCAGCGGTTGGAGGGCGGAATAATAATGTTGTGTGCCCAAGGCTGAGCTATGATTACCTGGGGAAACTTATTGGGTCCATCCCCATTATAGCGTTCATTCAGCTTAGGTTTATACGTACCACACAAATATATCCCATTACAGTTGTTACCATGACCAGCAAAGTTTGTTATTCAAAACATTGTTCAACACGAGTGTACGTGAGTCAGACACACCTAGTGATGTTTCACCCGCTGAAGTGTAACACAGGGATTTTTCTTTTCTCTCTTCAGGGATATTTTTTGCTTTCTTCCCTTTAAACTGTATTTTAAAAACTGTATTTTAAAAACTGTTTAATTCCAAATGAATTTGCCCTATTTAATCTATTGTTTCTGCTTCAAGTACAATAATCCCTCTCTTCTCTTCACAAATGGCTCCAGTTCAACAATTTATGTCAGTGATAAACATACTATTTTCCATGAGCTACCAAGGCCATGTTTTCCACTAGACATGAAGACTTCAGCATGTGTCTTTATAACCTCTTTTCTGCAGAGGCAGTGAGATCACCCAGTTAAAATGCAGCCTGTTTATAAATATGCTACCAAAATCAAATGCGTTATATGCTTAGTGCACAAACTGTTCAGTTTCCCCGTCAGTCACAGTGATCTTCATTTCCTCTGTGTAATCAGAGGGACATCCATATACACACAATATATTAAGCCCCTGGCAAATGAAGCAAAGCGAATGTGCAGCAGATGAGTGAATGCAGCCTGTCTTCAGCAGAAAATGCAAGCAAAAGCAGTTGCTGGTGAATAATGAGAGCCCATACGTCTCCCCTGGTAGTGGTGGGGGACTGAAGGGTGACATCATGAGGACAAGAGCTACTGCTGACTGTTACAGGAGACTGGCTCCATGTGAAAACCCCAAATACACCAATTCCTTCAGTACAAGCTGAAAGCATGGATTAAATTCCAATTTGCTACAGATTCTTCAAGTGCGAAGTAACATCATGTCTTGGTTAAATAAGCTACATCTCCTACTGGCAGAGCTGCAATGCGCCAGCTATGACGACGCTTGCTTTTACTGTCCCACAGATTAATCTACACTTTTAAGGGGCTTTGTGTTGATTTGTTAATTCTGAAGGGATGCAAAGATGAATGCACTAACATTGCCTCATTTACAACTGAGTTCTGTTTTGTTTTCCAGCTGGATGAGACAAATGTTCAACGCCAAAAATCCCGCTTATAGCAACTACAGCTTGTCAGAAGTTCATGTGCTTATTTAAAACCACAAAACAACTGCAAAACTAGCATCTCCTCTCTTCCTTAAGCTTATTAACAATTCAATAAATACCACAGAGTCAGAGCACTTCATCATTTTGCCCCACAAAACCACATGCTAATTTGCTTTGAGACAGAGGGCAAAAAGACCAGTTTTGATCTCAGCTTCATAGAATCATAGAATCATAGAATAGTTAGGGTTGGAAAGGACCTTAAGATCATCTAGTTCCAAACCCCCTGCCATGGGCAGGGACACCTCACACTAAACCATCTCACCCAAGGCTTCGTCCAACCTGGCTTCCTATGGTAAGTGCTAGTATCTCATAGGACACAGCTGGGACACATCATTAGGCAGGCATTAAGTCTGAAGCATTTAATTTCACCCAGTACAAAATATTTCACCAAATATTGTCCTTGTTTTAATTGTTTGAACACAAACTCCTTAGTACTTTAACCACTACACTTGGATATTGCATGTTCTTGTTTGATTGGGCTGGTTTGTCAGGTAAAACAGCTTGGACGAGAAGTTTAGTACGATATTAGTAGAATAGATGTACCTTATTAAGAAGAGTTATATAGTCAATTGGGATACATCATCAATTGAAACCTCCACATCTTTATTCATGCAAAAGCTGGCACATAGTATGGCAGTTACATTCAAACCAATAGGAAGAATGCTAAGCATAGCCAGTGCAGAGGCCTGGCACTGCCACATACCTCATGTCATGTGCTTTGCCAAACACAGCTGTACTGGAGCATGTAGTAATACAGAAATTAACTTCTAAGTGAAATGGGAAGCTACAGATGTATGCATTGCCTGACACAGTCCTGCTTATAAAAGCAGGAATTGCATTTACAGTATAAAAAAATGAAAAAGGAAAAATTCCTTATTTTTGGTAAAAAAAACAATTTTGCAAGGAAAACCAAGACTGATTTGGTAGAAGAAACTTCATTTCCTTCTCCCCCCACTTAAGGAAATTAAGGTATCATACAAATTATTTATCCTTTTGCTAATAACTCAAAATTAATATCAACACACTGGACATCTGCCTTTCCAAAATGAACACTTCAGCATTCAAGTACATTTCCTTGACACAAAAATCACTTATGTCTGTCAAAGGAGAAACCTCCTCCTGCAGAGCCGAATTAAAGATGGTAAAGCATATCAAGTGTGATTAATGCTTAATTATCTCTGTGTTCAAACTGTACAGGTTTGGTTTGGTTTTGTTTTTTTTTGTTTAAAAGACCAAGAGAGAACACAAAGGTGCACATGAAGGGAAAGGTGACGACCAACAGTGATGTGCCTTGCACCGAAAACATTAAGCACTGGGATATCTTGGTGATCCTGCCCCTCTTCTGAGAGGACTTCAGGAATTCTGTCAGAAACAAAGGAAGACCTTTTGTTTTTTACCAGAAAACAAAAACTGCCACTACTCCTGAGGGTTTCTGAGGAACGCGTGTCCTTGTCTCAAGCAGATACTCTGTGGATGGAGATGCTCAGCCTTGAGGCCACCACATTTCCCAGCGTCTGTTTCGCAGCAGCTGTATCTACAGCAGACATGTGGCACCTGGGAGCAGGATGCTTCTGTCTGAACAGTTCTCCTGGACTATAGCCCATTTTTTGCACAGGTCTGAGTGCCTGCAGGAAAGAGCAGGCTGTTTTGAATTACTCACACTGTGGGAACTTGAGCAGCAGGCTCTCTCTGACACACATCTCAGACCCAGCAGGCAGGGAGCTATGAGTACACCTACATGGCAGTGCTGGACATACAGCTATACTACCTGCATCTGTGACTGTGTGACAGAGGCTAGATGCTTGTACATCATTTTTTTTTTTTGCAGCCATTGGAAGATATATTGTCTACATGGCCTGAAAGCTTGACTCCCACTGGTGTAGTAGAGGGGAAAAAATAATTTTGCAGTGAAATGGTATAAAACATCCCTTTAAAAGCTGTTCCACAAAGGAGTCCAGCAAAATGAATCTGGGAGCTTGCTCAGAAGTAGCAGGAAGGCAGAAAAGACTGAGTAACCATCCAGTCTATCACCCCCACGTACAGGATTTCATCTTGCCCTCGCTGAACTCTGCTAGGTGAGAAGTTGACTAGAGAAACCTACTGGACAAGCTATAGCCCAGTTCCACATTATGAGGTTTGACACAGAACTTGCTGGCAGTGTTTTCTCCAGTTAAAGAGGCTCCTGGGACTGATGCACAATTTCTTTTAAAGGTAAACATCCTCTCAACATTTGCTTTTCTTTGGAAAAATTCCTGTAAGTTGCACATCTTGAAGCTGAGCTCACATAATAGGAAATCATATATAATAAACACGGTATAATCAAAACCTTCCTATAAGGATAGAGCAACTTCATTCAATCAGCTCTATCATACAGTAGGTTAGACACCGTGGGTTGTCAGTCTGCACGTTACACATGGTAATTCCAGTAAGAGCAAGGAGCATGGCACTTAATGAGAACACACTTTGTTCATACACACTCCTGCTCAAGTGCTGATCACATGAATGTTTCTTTAAGTTTCATGTTTACTCGCTAAAGGAATTGCACACATTCCCTTGTGGTCTGTTTTGTAATTGCTCTGCTTGCTCCGAGATCTTCTCAATTTCTTTGAGAAATGTCATATTGTGGTCCAATTAACGACTCTTGTTTCTAACGCCACACAGTGAACTCCTTTGTCAACCTATATGAGCAGTAATTCAGTGCCTTCACAATCACATAGTGAAACTTTGATGACGCAAGCATAGAAAACGGGGAGCTGTTATGGAGATAAACATTCTATTTGTGTGCAAAGTTGTTTAAAACAAAACACTTCAAAAGTCAGCTTGTCAGCTGCACAAACTCCTAAATAAAAGTATGCTCCTTTTGCATCACCTGAAGCAGAAGCTGAGGGGACTCTATGGAAAACACAGTGGTTGGGTTTTGCAGGAGGATAGCTCTGAACACTACTCCAACAGTTACTTCTCTGCGGATCCCACCATCTCTACCACAGTACAACCAAAGTGAAAGCTATCCCCATGCAAGGTACGGAAGTCTACAGTATATTAAAGACTGGTCTGTCCCACAGAGAACTACAGACCATTCTGTACTAGAACACAAAACTAAGCAAAACACAGAATAACCCTAAGAGAAAATATAAACATTGGGAAAGCAGAGTTCCAAAATGCTGGTGGTAGCAGGCTAAAGCTGAGTTACAAAACCTGGAAGACTCCTGAGGATTCATATTTCAGACTTGGAACAGGATATCATGTATAGTGATGGTATATGAATACATACTCCTTGCTGCTTTACAGGTTTAAAGTGACCCCAAAACCTGTACTTCAGAATTGATTTGTAAAGAAAATTATGGTTTCAGCAGAAGCAATTTTGCAAAGCCACTACCTGTTTATAATATCAAATTAATTGATGATGCAATTATTGCAGACCCAAGTACCTTGGTGGATTCTAGAATAATTTTTGCTTGATGTCCTATTTGGCAATTAGTAGTAAATCGTTGGTGAGGTTTTTAATCTGCTAACATTCAGATAAGTCAGGCAGCCAGCACTACACTCAGTGACGTTTCCCATCTGCCTGAGTTTTAGAGTATTATTAGGAACAGTGTTATTTCAACTGTGAAAAAAGTGGGAACAGAAAAAAACCCTCTTCTTTTATTATACAGATTTCAATGGCTCATTCATCTGGTAAAAATCATTTAAATTGCCTTCCTTTTCTTATGTTCAAGGCTTTTAAAAAAAGAACACACTGACAGTCCTCCTTGACCTGGTTATCTTGTCAAGCCTGCAGTTTACGCAGTTGCAAGCAAGAGACATCCCTGGATCTGCCTGCTGAGTACAAGATCAGGAATGAAGATTTTAGCTTGCTGTCTCTGAGGGCCAATTCTACCACACTGGCAATAACAGAGTGTACAGGAAGAGCTAATGAACATGAGGAACAAAACAAAGGTTTACATCTCCCTTGAATTACAAAGCTCAGCTCAGTAAGGGTTCCTCTGTGTCCTGGGAACCTCGGCTGAAGCCTAGTACAGCTAGTGGATATGCAATTACATTTAACGTTATCCTTTCATGTAGCACTTCTTATCCATAAGTCTCAAAGCTCTTTGGAAAGAAAATTGGTATCATAGTTTCCTTTTCACAGGTAAGGTTGTCTTGCCAAAGGTCAGGCAGTGACCTTATGGCAGAATGACAGCTGATATCCAAGCTGCCTGACTTCCAAGTGGCTCGGAACACACAGCCCACCACGCTGCTCTGCCTTCTGTGAAACACCAGTTAGATATGGCTTACTTGTAGGGAACAGACTGACAAATATCCATAAAGGTTAGGCAATTTGCTGTAGATGGCCTGTACTGCTACTGTTGTAAAAAAGCATTTTATTTCCTCTGGCCTATCTCTTCTTGCCCAGAGAGCAAATATATATGGCTGTATTATTAAAACACAAGAGCACATTAGACTATAGAAAAGACGCATACTGGGAGCATTACTTATGTATGTCTGAGCGTGTTTTAGCATTCCCTTGGCTGGTCAGTAGCAATAAAAATATAACATATATGCCATTTTTCCATGTCAAGCAATAAGATGTGTTGAGTAAAAGTAAAGTGAGGCAGGCTATAAAACAAGGATTGTTTCAGTTAAATGTCTAGTGCTTCAATAAGAACATGCTGAACTTGCCTACCAATGCTGACAGGTTTTTTCCAGAATGACTGAATATTGCCAGTTTGGAAAGTCTTTGTTGGGAGTTTTAATAAAACAAGGAAAATTAAATTTTACTTAAAAAAAAAGGAAGTGCTGGCTCAGAAGTCTGCAAGTCTCATCAAAAGAAATGATTGTCACTGCCCAGCTTCTGAGTACAAGGCCAGCCTGTGGGAGGAAATGTAAGGGCAACAACATGCTACCTAAAAGATACACATATAAATCCTGCTCATCATGATTGGCAGCTCCCCATGAAGTGTGCCCACATTACCCCAAGACAGTCGCTCAGTTTCATACTGACGGTGTGATTCAACCAGCAACGTGCCATTTCAGACACGTGTCTTGCTACTGCCCCCACATTACAGTGTAAGTGCTGCACAGCTGTTGTGCTCTCTACACCTTCACTGAGCTGAAGCAATCAGAGCAACAGCTCTTGGGGATTTAGCAAGGATAAAAGGTAAGACATTTTATGTGACAGCAATAACAGAACCACAACAAGTCACGTGGTGCTTGTATCTGAACCCCGTTTTAAGTGTGCTAGGCACCAGCACAGATACGGCTGCTGCTGCCTGCTCGATGAAGTTTGAACTTGATTATTAGACAAACCATACAGAGCCTGAACTGTCACCATGCACTTTGCATTTTCATGACCTTCACCCACTTGCATATTCTGACAACACCAGAGAGGACTCTGCCCCTTCTATTTCAGTGAGCTGCCCTCAATTAGCTAGCCAGTGGTGCTCCACATTAAGGGAAGTTCACCTTCTAATCCAACCAATATTGGTTTTGAACATATTCATCTTATCTACCTGAGGAATTATGCATTCACTTACCTCATATACATCCAAGAAAAGATCAGGATATAAAGTATGTTTCACGAGCCAGATGACCAATTAGAACTGAACTCTAACTTCCATTATGCTTGAAAACAGAGTAAGGAGTCAGCCAAGAGGAAAATATTCATAGATTTGGTTTAAAAGCTCCTCAGCATTTCAGATGTGCAGTTCTACAGCTTATATGAATAGTAATCAGATACAGAATTCAAAGATTATGCGCTGCATTTAAAGCATGTTATAGTTCTTAGACAATTACAACCCACACACTCCTTTACTTGACCAGAGCTAAGATCCAGATAGGAAAAAAAACAACAGTGAAAGAAAGGTGGAAGGATCACATTGCATGTGAAGATATGAAAAAGAAAATAAACATACTATTCCATCTTATTTCTGCAGAAATCAAGCAGTCATGACTTACTGCTTCCACACTGCTGCTGAGGGGGACAACTACAGATTTTCAAACCAGGATCTTGAGCCCATGTCACCCTTCAGGCTCTAGCTTTTCTGGGGAAAAAGGCAGAGAGAGCAATTTAGTTTGTTCTCTCAGCCCACATTCTAGTTTACAGCCAACTGATATACCAGCCATATCTAATTTAGCCAAGCTTTTCTCTGGGAACCTATAACCATGGATAGTTACCAATACAGAAATAACTTCTCCAAAGTAAAGCATGCCCAAAGGTACCTAGCTCTTATGAAAATTACTTAACACAGCATCTACTCTGAGAGGCATTTTCTCCATGCAGCTTTCTCCTACTATCTCCAGCAGATACGATTTATTACCCTATCTCTGACTTTGAAAACTCCTGCACCATTGAGAGCATTCATGTGTGTCTGACCTGCATGCACAGATGCTTTCTCTTGCACAGACAGCCTGTTCCAGCTCAACCAAGTCCCTCTTGATTCTAAAAGCTTCAAAGTTAATCCTTATTGCTGCCTAGAGAGAGCCAGTCTGAGGGAACAACCAGCCCCTGCCTGAACTCTGCAGAAGTTGGACAAGAAGATAACTTACCTGTTTCACCTTATCTGCTCAAATGTGTGATCACCTCATTGACTTCTCATACAGTCATGCAATAAGTGATACACAAATGAACAAAGGAGATCTACATGTAGCATTCATAAAAGATAACACAGGAATTCCCCTAGTTCACTATAATCATTATTCAGCCTCCTCTGTGCAGCTTCATCTCCCTAGTGGGGCTGATTCATAGCTGGGAAAGAAGAACTTGATGCTTCTACTTGTGTGATAAAATCTAATTCAAGTGGTGCACTAGCACAGTTCCTCAACAATTAATTTCCTCAGTGTTTAAAACTAAACCAAAACATTTGTTTCACTCTGCTTCTGGAAGAGCTGCACCTTTGTGCATTGCTGGATTTCTGCCTGAAAGACCCACAGGAGGGTTAAACTAACTTCAGGTGAATACATTTTGCAAAGTGGAAGTTTTTGTACTTCTGCAGGCAGTGGAAATTTGAAGGCAAAATAAAATTCACTTTAAATTCTGACAATGAGAAACAGAAGAAAGTTAGCACAAGCAAATGAATCTGTGCCTTTATATTTGAATTAATTGCCACTTCAATGCAGTCAGACTTGCAGAAAAAAGTAAGCTGTATGTACCATGTCAGCTAAGCAAAAGACGTGTCTAAGATGTTAGTTTCCAAAGTAAATAAGACTTAAGGAGGCAAGACAGAAAAAAGGTTGAGTATAAAACCTAACAATGGTAATGAGAGTCTAGCAGAAAATGTGTGCTAAGAACTTCAAAATATGCAGCTAAAAAATCTGCCTTTCTCTCTTTTTTTGTAGCATTTCTCTGTATATGAATTGAGAATGGACAAGAGTAAACAGACATGGAGACCAACGCAAACACATTTAGAGCAAATTAAGCAGACAACTGTGGGCAAAATTGTGAAATGCAAGCTACCTGTTGGACAAATTCATAGGCTATGCACTCTGAAGACAGACACAGGATTGAAAAATGCAGACTTACCCACACATCTCATTTATGTTCAATTTTGAATATTTCAGCAAACTTCCAGATTTTCTTGGTGTCAGATATATCCAGAATACGCAAGAAAATATTCTAAAGTAGCAAAAAATAATGTTAGAGCCAGCAGGGACAGTGAAGGACCCTTCAGGACTCTTCACTCTTAAGACCTCTCTAGGCAAAAAGGTATTCAAACAGTATGAAAAAATTTTATCTCCAGAACATAAGTAAACAACTTAGGTTAACACGGACAACTGGGAGTTCTAATTCTAGTCCTTAAAATACGCAGTCATGTGCCTCCAGTGTTTGACCATCCTCATGATAAAACAAACAAATCCTATTATCTAGCCAGAATTTTTCCCTGTTACAACATGTGCCTGCTGCCTCTTGTTCTTTCACTGCAGACGTCCAAGAGAAGCATGAGAATGCCTTCTCTACACTGTCCCATCTCACACCTGTAGACTATAGCAAGACACATCTCAACCTTCTCTTAACACTGAGCAAAACCAGCCCTCTCAGCCTCTCCTTGCGCATCACACATCCATATCCCTAGTCACCCTGGCAGTTGGACTTGCTCCAGGACATCAATGACTTCCTCATTCTGGGTAACCCCAGACTGGGCACAGGACTCCTGCTGCGGGCTCACAAAGGCTTAACAGAGAGGAAGATGCCCTTCCCTCAGCCTGCTGGCCACAGTCATTTTCACAGAGCCTGAGGTGTGGTTGGCCTCCCCTGCCACAACTCTAGGTCCTTCTCTGCAAAGCTGCTCTCCAGCCAGCCCATCCCAGCCTGTACTGCTCTGTAGGGTTACTCCACCCCAGGGCAGGCCTGTGCATCTGCTCCTGGTGAACTTCATGAGGTTCACATCAGCCCAGTTCCTCACCTGTCAAATCCTTCTGAGCAGCAGCCTGACTCTCCAGCTTCCACCCTGATCCAAGATCATCTGCATTCTGGCAAACACTGTGCTTCACTCCATCACCCAAGTTGTTAAGAGACATTCAACAGCTTTTGATCCTGCATTGACGCATCAGGGATGACACTAAAATATTGTTAACAGATCAGCTCTGTACTGCTGATTGCCACTTTCTGAGCCGTATGTTCCACATAGTTTTCCACTCAGCTTGTCATCCACCAGTTCAAATCACATCTCTCCAAACTGGCTACAAGGATACTACAGCAGACCATGTAAAAGCCTTGGCAAAGTGAAGAAGTGGCAAGCACTGCTCTCCTCTTGTCCATAGTCAGTCATCTCACCAATGGCAGAGACCAGGATGGTCAGGACAGGTTTGCCCTTGATAAATCTACACTTTTGTTCTCAATCACGTTCCTGTGTTCCACGGGGATTTGCTCCATAGTTTTCCTGGAGAGCAAGGTGAGGCTGACCAGCCTGTACTTCCCTAAATCCTGCTTGCCTTTTCTGGAGATGAGTGGTTTCCCTTTTTCTGGGTAACAGGAAGCACCTCCTGCTTTGAGGAGGTTTCCCTGGAAGATAGCCACCTTTTTCCCAAGTCGTTTTGCTCTCCATGGCTGTCTCCTGTGGGATCCTGCCAACCAGGTCCATAAAAAAAAAAAAAAAAGACAAAATCTGCTTTCCTAAAACCAAAGACTAAATTACTGCTTATCCTTCTTGTCTGTCTCGATCTTAAATTCCACAATCTCATGGGCACTTCCACCAGCTATTGAAGACTGCTATTTATAGCAGGCCCAGCAGAGATCATCTGTAGCTGTCTTGTTAAACACTCATAACAAAACATTGTCCTCGATGCTCTCCAGAAATCTCCTGGATTGTTTATGCCTTTCTGTTTTGCCACAGGTGTTGGGGTGGTTCAAGTGTTCCTTGAGTACCAGGACCTGTGATCACAGGGTTTCCCTAGACCTCTAAAAAAGGCTCCATCTACTTCACCAGGAAGTCTGCAGTAGACACCCACCATAACATCATCCACATTGATCTGACCTCTGTGCCTTACCCATAAACTCTCAACTGGCTCATACATTTCAGAGCAAAGCTCCATGCATTCAAGCCACTCCTTTGCATTGAGCACAACTCCTCCTCCTTGTGTTCCCAGCTTGCATTTCTAAAAGGGTCTGTATAAAACCATTCCGTGGTAACCCTATCTCTCTAATTGCAGTGAGATCACAGCTCTGCAACTATGCATGGGTTTCCTATGCTATGCGTATTCATGTACAGGCACCTGAGATGGGCTTCAGTCATGTTACTTTCACAGGAAAGCTGTGAGAGCCTTCTCCATTGTGCTAGAAATGCTAGAAACATACTCACTTTCCCCATGACTCCACTACTCTTGTGGGTTTGGTCACCATCCTTCACTGAAACCAGTTTAAAGCCCGTCTCAAAGGCAAACTTAAGCTGATTGCCAAAGATACTTTTGGCTCCACTTTGTCGCTGCTTCTCAGGAAGAAGAACGTCAAAGATATCATAAAGGCCAAAGACAAAATGACAAAGGCCAAAGTGACACTCAGGCGTTAACCTGCAGGGTGCATATGCTCCTACCCAAGCCTTTCTCTTTCACTGGAACGATTTAGGAGAGCACTACTTGGGCTCTCATGCCCTTCACTCTCTCTAAGAACTCTTGATGAACTTAAGGTCACCCCTCACAATGACATGGATGCCCATGCTGGGCAAGAAGAGGTCCTAGTCTCAGGTCCAGAGAAGCCTCATCAGACTCTCCACAGTACCCTAGATCTGACTGCCCAGAAAGAGATAAGCAGCCCAAGACATCAAGCCAAGACTGCAGATGGGTGCCTCCATCCCCCACGGGAGAGAGCCTCCAGCCTTAATCACCCATCACTTCCTCCCAGTGCTGACAACCAGTGATTCAAGCTCATCTGTCTCCAATACCTACCCTGACAGAACTTGCTCTTCCTCATCTGTTACCATGGCACTATACCTATCTTGTAAATGCACGTCTGCAGGCAGAGAATGAACCTGCCTTCTGTTGCCAACAGTCCCAAGCTTCCATTCCTCCTCATCTTGGGAGTCTCTATCCTCCACTTATATGAGCATAGCTTCTATCTGTCCCTTCTTCTGTGCAATGTGGGGTTTGTGCTCTTCTACTCTCTGCAAAGATCCTGTCAATCTCCTATTTCTGGTCCCTATGGCTATGCAGCCTGCTCATCTCCTGCTGCCACTTCACCTGGCAGCCTCACACTTCGATGGCAGCAGCACCCAGCAGATGAGGCCATCACCATGCTCTGCCCCAGGCTCAGGAAGAAGCACCAGTCACTCCCTGCTGCCCAGCATCTACCACATAATTCCTCTGGAGCTCTGCTTGGGCCAGGATTCCACATTGCCAGGGCAGTTGCTCCAACCATGGCAGGAAAAGCACCCTTTCAGGTGCCCACTCCAGCTGCCTCAGAGTGTTGGGTGCCTTCTGCACACCCTTTCATGCTGCATTAACTGCCAAGTCCTTGTTAACCACTCCATGCCACAACAGCTTTGCAGTGATTTTAACTACTTTGGAAAGGAATGTGGGTGCAATAGAATAAAAAAAAGAAATTGAAAAGCTTGACACAGAGCAAAGTTATAATTTTCTAAACCACTAAAGCTAGAAATATTTCCTCTCTCTAAACATCAAAAACCTTTTACTGTTTGTTAAGGCAATTCTCTTGCTTTTTACAGATTTGTATTCTACCCAGTAGCAGCACAGTGGTATTTATCAGCATACAAAAGGCATGTCAACTCCTACTCTTCTCTTAGATAGCACTTAGCCTCAAAGACTCTCCACAGATAGTCCTATGACGTATCCCAGGAAAAGGCAGTTTTAAAATAATTATGCAGAGGATGTGTTCCCATGCAAAACAACAAATAATCATTAAAGGGCCTCCTGTCTTTCCAAGTTGCTTCTTTAAATACTCATTATACAAGCAAATGAGGTAAGAGAAGAAGCTGAGAAAATTGTAAGGCATTATTCCATGCATATAATTCTGCTTGCCTGAAGAGAAAAACCACATGATTTTTTTTCTCAAGCCCCTGGATTTCAGCTCCTTATTTGAGTTAGGCCAGAATTTTCTCCTTTTAATGTTCATTTCTGTCCAAAAGCTGCTCTGATCTTTCTAATTTGAGACCTCTCCAAGAGCTTTCTAGTTTTAAAGTTACCACCATTATCTACTGGTACAGAAAAGCTGAAGTTTTCTGGGCAAATGGTCAATATTACAAGTGATTTCAGAGAGTGAAAAGGATGCAAATCAGCACTTATCTGCCTAAGACTGTCACATTGGTTCAGAAAAAGGACACACAGGCCTGCCCGCTATTAAAGTCATGGTAGCAAAGCTTTTTTCAAAATGAGACCTAATCTTAATGACTACATCTACTTTAACGTATTAGGAGAACTTTCTAGTTCCCGGGGCATGTCAAATAACTCCAATACAGCACTGAACTTCAACGTGTCTTTCTGTGGAAGACGGAAAAAATCTTTGGTGTATACTACAACAGGATCACTGTTCAGATGATCAGGGAGAGCAAGTTAAGTCTGGATACAGCTTGTCAAGCTGCAGACAAAGCATTTTGTTGTCACCCTGTATGGCTTCTGAATAAGCACTTACAAAGAAGGATGCTCCTGTGGACTCCTTGTACAGCTTGTCTAACTGAATGCTTCCTATAAAAATGCTCTGTCCTCAGGGTCGCGAACAAGTTCTGCAGTGCCCTCATACTTTTTCATGACTAGAGAAACTAGAGGTTTGCATCCTGCTGAAAAGTGGAAATGTGGTAATTGTGCTGCTTTTAGGGAAGAAAATTACTGGCATCAAGTTTTGTTTCACCAAATGACAGAAAGCAGAACATGAAGGAGCCTTCAGAGGTCAGACTCACCCCTTTTCCCAGGCTGTCTGACTGCAGCTAGAAAAAGAGGTAACACAGATAATCACCAGTCTTACTGTAGCCATGGGATTACATAGTTATAGACAGATGGAAAGTATTTATTTCTACTTAAGGACTGATCTAATTCACCTTCATTAAAGAACTGAAGTGTAATGGTCGTGTCACACTAGGGAGCTGAAACCAATGAGCAGAAATTTAGTCAATATGGTATCTCTAACCATAAAAAATCTTCAGAATTTTTGATGCACTCAAAATACTATTACTGGAATCAAAATACTGTGTTCAAGAGCCAAGTCACTACTTAAAATGATGACAGTTCTCCATGCAATTGTTGTGGGTTAACCTTAGTAGGCAGTTAAGCCCCATACAACCACTCACTCTCTCCCCTTCCAGTGAGATTGTGGAGAGAATCAGAAGGGTAAAACAGACAAAACTTGTGGGTTGAGATAAAGACAGTTTAATAAGTGAAGCAGAGGCGTGTGTGCAAACAATGCAAAATGAGGAATTCAATTACTAATTTTCGTTGTCAGGCAGGTGTTCTGCAATCCCCAGGAAAGCTGAGCTTCATCATATGCAACAGTGATTTGGAAAGCCAAACACTGCTCCCCCTTCCTCCTTCTTCCCTCAGCTGCTATTGCTAAGCACATATGGTCTGGAGTAGCCCTTTGGTCAGTTGGGGTCAGCTGTCCTGTCTATGTCCCCTCCCAGCTTCTTGTCCATCCCTAATCCACTTGCTGGTCGGGTGGGGTGAGGAGCAGAAAAGTTCTTGATGCTGTGCAGCCACTGTTCAAAAATAACTAAACCATGGTGTAGTGGTTTAAGCTCAGTGGACAACTCAGCCACGCAGCCTGCTGTCTCACTCCCCACCCTTTCCTCCCCCTGCTCCCGGAGGGATGGGGAGGAGAATCAAAGGAATGTAATTCCCATGGGCTGAGATAAGAACAGTCCAGTAACTAAGGTATAACACAAACCACTGCTGCTACCACCAGTAATAATAAGGGAAATAACAAGGGAAAAGAATACAACTGCTCACCACCTGCCGACCAATACCCAGCCTGACCCGAGCAGTGATCTAGCCCTTCCAGGTAACTGCCCCCAGTTGCTATACTGGGCATGACATGCTGTGGTATGGAATACCTCTTTGGCTAGTTTGGGTCAGCTGTCCTCCCAGCTGCTTCCTCCCAGCTTCCCCTCCTCTCTGGCAGAGCATGAGACTGAGAAAGGCCTTGGTCAGACTAAACATTACTGAGCAACAACTAAAAACATTGGTGTTATCAGCATTGTTCCCAGGCTGAAAGTCAAAATCACAGCGCTGCACCAGCTACTAAGAAGGAGAAAAATGACTGCTACTGCTGAACCCAGGACACACAGGTTCTCAGCGTTGCTTTGGTCACAAGTCCAAACCACAGCACCATAGGAGCTGTTATGAAGAAAATTAATTCTGTTCCAACCAAAACCAGTGCATCAAGATAGAAAGACAGCAACTGCACTTCTCCATAAGCACACCCTCCTGAATACTTAGCAAAAGCAGCAATGACAGGTATAGGGGTATAATGTACAGTGATATACATGAAAGCAAAAATATCTAAAAGAAGGGAGGAGGTAAGGAAGTGATATATAAGAAAAGGAGGTGGAAAAGTACGTAGAACATGGAACTAGGATCACACACAGGACTTCACAGAGCAGCCAAACTTAGCAAATCAAGAGCATGTTATTCAGGCACATAAAACCTTTAACTCCAATGCTGTAGACTCATAAACATTGTAAGAGTGTTGCAATGCATTAACTTTTGAAAGCCTCAGCCACACACTTAAGAATAGTAAGACAGCTATTGACAGCAAAAATTAAACAAAACAGCATGCTGATGGTGATGTTATTAATGACAGAAAACATCATCCAGTGAAATTAAATCACTTCAAACCACACAGATGTTAAACTACTAGATATTTCCATGTCCATAAGAAAATACCATTATAAACAAAACAGCAAAATGATGAAACAGAACACCTCAAGGCCTCAGAAGTCTTTAATATTAACAATCTTTCTAAGAGTAAACAACAGACTGACAAACAGGTCACCTAGTTGATCATTTCCATCACTATTTCTCCTCGAAAGACCTCAGCTCATTCCTTACTTCTGCAAACCAGCTGAACCGTGCCACCTGGTGGATTCCAGAAACACAGCTCATCATTCATTACCAACTGCTCTCATCAGCAAAGAGGGAGGGCCAGGCAGCGATGTGCAATTTGCAGCCCTTCTTTGGGGTTAGTTTTTGACACAAACCAAATAAAACAAAAAGCCTTTCATGATTGAATTCCAGATTGCGGGAAGCGTGCAGCCTGCTAGCAGCAGTAGCAGTACTGGTCAGGTGATCACTGCAATGCCATGGGAGCTTCCCAGCAGCAGAACATTACTGAGCTCTGCACACCTAACAGTCCCATTCCCCTGCTGCCAAGAGGTGAGCAGTGGCTTTTCATCAATGCTGCTGAAGTTAGGTCTGCGGATTTCTCAGGGCTCCCATGTCTCCTGCTGACGAACTGGAAGCAGGGAGCTGGTTAGGGCCATAGCAACCCATAGCAGTCCCGGGTCCACCAGCCTTGGGCTGCTCTCGGGAACAAACTCCCCCTAAAAAGCACTGTTCCAGCTGTACCATCAGCCAGAGAAGACACATCAAAAAGACCAATGAGGTCTGTCCAGAGACTTCACATGGACAGTTTAGGACACCAGGTGTGGATATAATAGGAAAGCTGTGAGATTTCTGCTTTCTGCTGAGATGGAATTATTTCTCCCCATAGCAGCCCTCAACAGGGCTGTGCTTTTATTTTCTCCCCATCTTGTAGTGTTGGGGAGGGGAGTGATAGAGCTACTCGGTGGGCACCAGATGTCCAGCCAAGGTCAACCCACCACAGTACTTTTTGGTGCCCAGTGTGGAGCTTGAGGATTTTCAGATTGGGATAGTGACTGGGAGAGATAACAGTCAAAATATAGAATCATAGAATAGTTAGGGTTGAAAAGGAGCTTAAGATCATCTGAGGAATTTCTGTTGTAATTGTGGTGAAGGAACGAGAGGTGGATTGCCTGTGTATGTTGCCCACTTCTGTCCAATGTTATGATGATATTTTGATTTTTGGGTGGGGAATACTTTTTCTTTGGCAGGACCTGTGGTCTCATGGAGAGAGGAGCCCGCATTGGAGCAGGTTTGCTGCAGGACTTGTGGCCCTGCTGGGGACCCACACTGGAGCAGTTTATGAAGAACTGTAGCCTGTGGGAAGGACTCATGTTGGAGTTTGTGGAGGACTGTATCCTGTGGGAGGGACTGGAGCATGGAAGGGTGTGAGGAAGAAAGAAGCAGCAGAGACAATGTATGATGAACTGACCATAACCACCATTCCCCATCCCCCTGTGCAGCTGGGGGAAGAGGTAGAGTTCAGAAACAGAGTTAAAACTGGGAATGGGGGTGGGTCTGGGTGGGTGTGCTTTTAATATTTGGTTTTATTTCTCATTATCCTACTCCGATTTGATTGATAATAAATTAAACCCATTTCCCCAAGTCAAGTCTGTTTTGCTGATGACGGTAATTGCTGAGTGATCTCTCCTTGTCCTTATTTCAGCCCATGACCCTTTCATTGTACTTTCTAATGCCCTGTCAGTGGAAGAGGGCAATGATAGAGTGGCTTTTGTGAGCACCTAGCCATGATTAACCCACCACAACTGGGCATGCTGCTGATACAAGCAACAAACCTCAAGGTTCTTCTGAAACTCTCCAGTTCTCCCTGCACTGACAGAGTTACCTGGGTTACTTAAGTGCACAACTGCAGGCAGTGGTGGGAAACTCCCAGATCTGGGATAACCATACAGATAACCCTAACAAATGTTTGTGTTACACATGCACCATACATGGAAGGGACCATGCACAGACAAGCACTGAATATATACAGATCAGAATGAAAGACGGTCTTTATCCAAGGGAAAACAGATTTCATGAGTGGGAGAAAAGACAGGCAACCAGAAGGGGCAGTGTCCAATGCTCACTTCTTTGAACGTTCTCACAGTGACTGCAAGCTTCATTGCAAAGGAGGGCTTTAATTACAGACCTTACAGCAGTTCAGGATGTGTGTTTACAGGTGTTTTAGAAATACCTCCCAAATAACAGGGCACAGCACAAGTTATGCATGCAGGTACAAATCAAACACCTGGAATCTGGCCTTCAAGCTGATCAGAAACATTCTCATAGAATCATAGAATAGTTAGGGTTGGAAAGGACCTTAAGATCATCTAGTTCCAACCCCCCTGCCATGGGCAGGGACACCTACCCTAGACCATGTCACCCAAGGCTCTGTCCAACCTGACCTTGAACACCGTCAGGGATGGAGCATTTACCACTTCTTTGGGCAACCCATTCCAGTGCCTCACCACCCTCACAGTAAAGAACTTCCTCCTTATACCTAACCTAAAATTCCCCTGTTCAAGTTTAAACCCACTGCCCCTTGTCCTATCACTACAGTCCTTAATGAAGAGACCCTCCCCAGCATCCTTATAAGCCCCCTTCAGATACTGGAAGGCTGTTGATAGTCTGTTATGTATAGTCTACAGCAGAAAACATTCTGTGAGAAGAGGTGGGTTTTAAGAGCTTTGAGTATGAACTCTTTTCTTGCTGCTAAGGAGAGCAGAGAGAAGACAGTTTTGGTGTGACCTACAGGCTAAGAAATTGATTTACATTTATTTTCCATGGTAAATATTGAAATTATTTGAACTTAATACACGGGAATTGTCAGAGTGGTTGGGAGAAGACTGCATCAAACAGGAAGTGCAGTTCACAGACAAACAAGAGAGCCCAAATCTGCAATACCATGAGACACCAATTCAGAGAAAAGCTGAACTAAAAAAATTGTCATCAAGACGTCATTATTTACAGAGATGAGACGACATATTACAGAGATTTACAGTGCTTGAAGGTAAAGCCAGCATAGCTTGGTCATTCTTCTGCTGAATCAGAATTCCTTGTATTCTTGTCATGATGTACTTGAAGAGATTCAATGAGAAGATAGAGACCCAAAAACTGATGCTGAGTTTCAGAGCCACATCTTCAAGGACGGGATCAGGAACATATTGTTAAGTCATTTTAGCTTCATATGTACAGCAATACCCACAAAAGGTATCAGACAACCAATCTGTGCCCATAGATGTTCTTTGAGCTCCTGCCATTAGACATGGTGACCAAAACCTATGCAGATCCAGTCAACCTGACAGCTTGCAAAACATGGCAGGCACATCCAGTCATCAGACAAAGCAATAATTACGTAAGTCTATTACATGTAATAACAGTATTGGGAACCTGAAAATCAATCACATCCTGACACTGATGGGGATCTTCAGCCCAAAGGCTCTTTGGTGCTAATAATTTTGAATTAGTTTCATTTAACTGAGTCACCACTTTCCTTCATAATATAGTTATGAAGCCTAAGCATGCAAAGAGAGCAAAAAACCACAAGCTCCTCCTTTTTATTCTACATGCCAAAACTCCTATCACTCTTTCACAACAGGAATTATTTTGTCAACTCTGAAAGAGATTAGTTTTATCCTTCAACAGTAGCTAGTTCCAGTTCATACCATCTCCTTAGTTACAGTGAGCAACAAAAAATGGTTGCATATAATCAGTTAAAGTGCACAAACTGCAGATTATCATCACGATCGAGCACAACTATGTTGTTTCTTTCAAACTCTCCAAGCTCATCTTAGCACAGGCAATTGTTTTCTTTCATCATAAGATACATTTGTAAATTCTTCAAAACAGTCCAAATTCATCCAAGCTGCTGCTTGTACCAAATCAGTCCTAAGTGGGCTTGATCCATCACCAGCATCCTTAGATGCCACTATAACACATTTTCAGTGAACATGCACTTGAGAAACACTTTCCACTAACTTGGTTTCATTATTCTAGTTTTCATTGCACTGCTTATGCTTAAACCTCTAACCCATGCTAACAGCCCTGTAAAATAACACACCTGACCCCTCATCCCAGGGAACTGTGTCTTTGCGTTTTCACTGAAAAACCAAACCTACTTCCTTCCACCTTCTCCATTATGGCCCCTCAGGCCCCTCATTACAGCCTGGCTCACCTGCCCTCGCTGTCTCTTTGACTGTGGCCCTACCAGTGCCACTCTTTGCACCAGAAAGGACCTTGCAGCCAGATCGCCTCCACATCAGCTGGACTGAAGTGCTTGGAAGCAGACTCATAGCTGGTCCTGAATATATCAGAGTTACCTGTGAGAAACAAGAGTACTTCCAAAGAAACCCAGAGAATTGAAAAGCACCTCCCCTCACATCTCAGCATATGTGAAACACCTCCCCTCTCCTTACTACCCTCCATACCCATGGGACAGATCGCGTATAGTGCCAGGGACACTAAGGAGCAGTGCAGTAACAACTGAAGGTGTTTGCCTGCCACAAGCCACAGCCCAAAGGTTGACGCTCACGAGGGCTGTGGGCTCCCACAGGTAAAGCGCTGAGATCACTCCACTCTGGTAGGGCTCGGCACGCTTTGATTAAGAGCACTTAAAACACCAAGCCACCTGGAAGCGGTTAAAAGCCCGCGGACGGACGCACAGAAACGCCTGAGCCCGGGGGAGCCGCCGTCTGTGCCTCGTGCACTCCCGCACCCCCGTCACGAACCACAGGGCGTTGCGGTACCGGGACGTGGTGGCGGTACCAGGATGTGGTGTCGGTGCCGCCACAGAGGTGCTCGCCCCTCTTCAGCCCTTATGTAAGGCACCCGGACGGGACCAGTCCTGCCCGCCCACCGTCACTATTGCCGCCTGGGTTTATCAGCAAGAGACAGTGTGAGGGACGGTGTTGTGTGAATGTGCAGGGAGTTGTGCCTCCTTCATCCCCCCTAGCAGTTTGTGGGTTGGTGTCTCTTATCCCTTCCATTTCCCTCTTTCTTCATTCACCAGCAAAGAAAGGTGGCTGCTGTTAACCACCGAGCCTGGGTGCCTCCAGCCAGCCTGGCATTCAGCCCCTGGCTGCATTAGCCGCTACCATGCTGGAGACTGCTGTACCTGGTGAAGGTGATGGCTGAGGAAGGAAGGACAGAAGGAAAGTTTTCCAGGGCTTCTGCTGGGAGCAGATGCTGCTGCCAACCAAGCCAGGGCAGGAAATGGGGTGTCATGTTTTGGGAATGGGAGCAGTGCTACAGGACCTGAGCCTGCACCCTCTGCTCTGGAAAGCTGTCAAAGGGATACTCTTGCAGAAACATAACCAGGTGTGTTGGGCCACACCAAGTACCATTTCATGTAATAAATAAACCTGTTAAATTCCTGGCTATTGCATTAGAGGGAGTGAAATTTAAAATGTTGTTTCAATTCCTCTGGTATGTGTGTTGGAGCTACAAAGCCCAAGAGGATCACTTAGAGTTGCACATCTGGACAGCCCATATTAGCCATGAGAAATTGTCATTGGAGGTATAATTATGTTTTAAGTACATTAAAGGACTATGCATTTAAAAAATTCAGTATGCAAGCTGGATAAATTCATGTCTTTTATGTGGTATGCAGGGCAACATGCAGAGAAGCTACTTTGGGAGCCAGGTTTCAGTAGCAGAGATAGGGCAGGATTGAGAATATTTGTCCTTTTTGACCCTGTACGTTAGCCTGATACTTCTTTTTTCTAAACCTCTTCATGCTGGCAAAGGCCTCATACTAAAGTCTTCCACTTTCTCAGCATGTTGTGTGAGTACTAGGCTCACACAAAAGGTACTTCCCACTATGAAGTTAAACCTTTTGAACTCAGCACAGCCCACTGGTACTGGGTGTTCTGTGAGAAATCAGTTTCCATAGGGCAAAGACACACATTTTCACAGTGATATTTTCTTCCATTCAGAGACCAGCTAAATGTCACCTTTGCATGAAACCTGAAAATGCTTGTTTTTATTAAAGCAGTTGAAAGAATTTATTTAAAACCAGCAGCCTGTGTCACTTTAAACTGATTTTGTTCTTGGAGTTTGTGACTGAAGCATTCCTAAACAATTCATCCTGGGTCTGATGTTCGAAATGGAGACTTCTGGCCCAGAAAGGAACAGCTTGGAAATAGTATGAGTGGCAGAATGCTATATGCTATAATGGAAAATGAATGGCAGCCTGAACTACAGTACATTCTATAATGTCTGTAAGTATATAACTGTGGGCTATAGGAGCTGTATGGAAATAGTTTTGTGATCATCATCTACAACATGCAATTAGCAACCTAAACTGTACAGCCTAGGCTGCTATAATGATGTTAGATAATCGCACTCACTGTGAACAGAGCAGATGTTCAGCTTGTGTGAGTCCTGCTTACAGGCTGAGATAATATTCCCTCTTCCCATTTTCAGTCCCTTGACCTGCTAGCCCTTCTGCTTCTCCTTTTCCCTCACAGCCTGTGCAAGTCTGTCTGGTTACTTTCCTCGAACCCTGACTCAGGGAAAATACACAGCAGGGAAAAAACAGATAATTCTGTGGGCATGCCTGCTGCTATGAGTACCCAGGCAGAAAACTGCAGTGCTGCCTCACATTTCCATGCTAGTTAGAGAATGTCTCACCTTGGGCTTTGTAACCCTCAGTGCAAGCCCCATACAGAATAAAAACCCTGTAGAAGTTCCTGTGAATAAATGCAATAAGCCAGGTTGTGCTTTATTCCGTTGTAATGTTTACATTTACCCTTTATTACATTTCTGCATTTCTTTATCGTGGAGACTGTGGCTTAGTACAAGCAAGTTTGTCATTTCAGTCTTTTTCTCGTAAACTGGGGGCACACCCCTGCAGTCTGCTGACCTCTGAAAGTAAATGAGGTGTACGCAGACACAGAATTCCTTGAAGGCTAAACCATCTGGTCACTAATCAGCAAGGTGTTAGTGCATCCCTGAAGTGCTAACCAATGAGTATGCATGGCAGAAGCTGGCCATGAGTCAAACATTAAAATACGGTAGAGCAGCTCATAATATTGGGGGGTTTAAGCAGTAATGGCCAATTACACCATATTATTTTTATTAATGTTAGAGAACATAAGATTGTTAGGAAAACATCTGAATGTAGGGTTAGGAACCAGCACCACTCTGGTAAATACACAATTTTCTCTGAGAACATTACATAAATAGGGTAGCACCACTACCGTGATGTTAGCCATACCCTTCCAACAGACGCCATTTTCATGAGATTTTGTAAACACTGAGAAATGATGCCCTTGCCAGAATGCAACAATCCCTGAACACACTCAGCTGAGAGTTTTCTGCTTAGAAACACTTGTTTTTTCCATAATGAGGACCTGCGCTTGACCCAGAAAGGAATCATCACAGCACTCTCTCTGAACAGAGCCACGTCAAAAACAAGCAGTTGCAGACTGCCCTAGACTGACAGCTAGATGTTTCTGCAACCTCTTTTCACCCCCTGTGATGTTTTGCTTTTGTATTGTTCCAGAGGCAGGAGACTGTAGAGTTTGTGTGAGTGCTCTTTGCTAACCCAGCCATAACAGGGATGAGGCAGTATGGCTTGTGTGCATCAGGAAGGTAAGACGTAGTTTTGTGGGCCTGCCTCACAGTACTGTCAAGGGCAAAATTTCTGCCTACATCAGGAGTTTTGGCTGTACATTGCCTTTTGTACTGAATCCTCCACTGATACACCCTGTTAGCTGGATTAGAATCCATTCTGGAGGTTTGGAAATTTGGAAACTTGCAGCTTTTGTTTTCTTTCATGATTGTTACTTGCTTAGCATCAAACTCCGATAGGACACTGCTCTGAATGGCAGGGATTCTTTTAAACCAGGAATTCTCATGGGCTGGCAGCCAAAATCTCAGATAGTTACCACAGCCAGCAACTGACATATATGTGTAGCCTGGCTTCCCTATGGAAGGAGCTGGATCAAGAGAGCCACAGTTCTGTTGAGCTCCTGGCATTTCCCTCATCTGAGCACAGAACAAAATAGCTTCGCCCTGGCTAAACACAACCAAGTGTTCACCCTTGATAAAACATACTGAAGCTAACTGTTCCCCTTGAGGACTATAACACTCCAGGTGTATCTATGCTATCAAATAACTCATAGCATATTCCCAAATTGCAATCCTCTTATCGCCTATAGTAGGTAAACAAATGTTGACGCCTAGGCTCTCTTGAAGTATTAAACAGATGGTTCTGTCCAAAAGATCCTTGGGTGGATAGTTTACTCAAGGAATCGCTGGTTCCCAAGCACTATGGATGAGACTGCACAGCTTGACTTTGCATTGGTGATCCTGCATTCAAGTAGATGCATTTACCAGTGCAGAAATAGCCCCGAAGTCTGTTATGCAGGCTGTCCATCAATGCAGATAATGCTCAAGGCAAATCAAAAGTCTGGAGTGTTGTGACTGAGAGCTTTCAGGTATTATGATTTTTCATACAGTAAGGAATTGAGAATCTCAGTATTTTCTTAAGATACAAGAGCTGATGAAAAGTCCCTCTCTGGCCCCCAGCTGGACTAACATGAAAAACACACCTTAGACTGGATCCATCTTTGTATCAGTCAAAGAGTAAGGAGTTTTAAGCAAAGTTTTAATTGCCTCCCAACACAGAAGTTGAAAATACTGATTGTGTTCAGGGCTGTGTGTTTCAGCATGTTTTGTATTTTCTTCCCAGGAGACAGATCTAAAAAGGTAGAGTACTTGAGCTGAAAAGCAATTACATATTATACAAGATGTTTAAGAGCAGCTTCAAGGCCATCTTGGCAATCTCTTTTATTATCCTTTATTTAAGAGAGAGTAGAGACTAAGATCTCTGTCTTAAGGACAACTGTTCCCTTTGCTTGCCTCCTACCAGAGAGCTGGCAGGCTGTTGTGCATTCTCTCCTTTCCTTGCAGTTACCAATTTTCTAATTAAGTCTCTGTGCCTGCCCCCATTAAATCAATCAGAATGTCACCACTGTTTGCAGTGGGAACAGGATTTAAGGGCCAGATCTGCAGGAAAGCTCAGCGTCTATAATGGTGGCCAGGATTTCAAAGGAAGCGGCAATCACACGCAAGCCACTGTTGCTGTGAGAGCCTCTCCCAACCCTGCATTTGCCGTGCTGGCCTCAGCTTTGGGTGCAAAACACTTGAAACCTCCAGCTTTAGAAGCTAGCACTGCCCCAGTGAGCGCAGTAGCAATTAAGAGCTGTTAGCAGCCTCAGGAGAGGCAGTCGGCTCTCCTCCTTTCCCTGGCTGAAGCAGAGGGTTTGGCAAGTGGTTGAAGAGGAACATCCAGGCCCTGAGGTCCCAGGGACATGCTTGAAGTGTTTCTGCTAGGAGCAGGGTGAGAGAAGCAAAGCTGCTCATCCTGAACTCAGAGAGGGGTCAACGTTCTGGCGTGTGTGGTGTCTTTATGAACAGTAGGGTATTTTCTTTGTTGTGTGCTTTTACACCCAAGACATCACTACATCTGCCAACCACTGTCATCAGCAGTGTTGTTTCCAATGAACAGTCAGGCTTTCCCCAGACCAAATAGCATTTTGTTCTTGAGAAACAAATGTGGCAGTATGTCATCAGCCCAGCTCAATCACGCCTTTTCACTAAGGGGCCAGTAAAAAGAATGGTTTACTTGGACTTAACAGAAGGCTTCCTCCATCAAATGCTGATGGCCCTGGTCTCCGAGAGCCTGCAGGGCCTCCCAGGGACAGGCATATCCTGGCAAGGAGATGAACTGCCGAGTGTCCTCCCAGAGCTAAACCTGCTATTAACCTATTTAATCTTCAATGTATCAAATAGTTTCCCTATGCTTTAGTATATAACTGTTTTCAAAAATAAAAGTTTTATAGTTGATTTTCATCTTAGAAAATATTTAGTCAATAAAAGATAAATTTTATTATTCCCATGACTGAAAAATTATCTTTATGCTCTTACAGTAGGCAACATGCTTGAGTGCACACGTTTGTTGCTGGGCTGTGACAGTAATGCAGTTATCCGTACTAATATTTTCTTCAGCTGCCTGTTTCTTTTGTTGCTGCGCTTCTGTTGGTTTTTACTGTTCTTACTACCAGCTGTTGAACAGGGGTACTCATGGATTTATTGACTCAGGTGAGTTCTGCTATACTCCATTTTTTTATCTTATTTTGCCTATCTTTCTGCAAATCTTACAGGTTATTAGCATTGATTATTCTAGCACAATTGTTACCATATTGCAGATACAATCTGTATGTATCCACCAAGAGATAACTACAAGGAGGGCAAGAGACACACCTCAGCTTATATGGTTGCTGTACATTGTGTTCAAATGCCAAAGGAGTGGACTGACGTTTTGTGTCTGTGAACAGCCAAAATGCTGTAGTAACAGAACCCACAGAGATATGTAAAACTTATTAAAGTAAGGCTATGGAGGCAAACCCTCCGCTAACCACCGGACTGGTTTATTAAGTCTTGTTTCACCTGTTGTTGGACACATTTTTTAAAAAGTCCATTAAAAGTAGTGAAGCAGCTCTTTCTGATATATTCTGAAAATAAGCAGAATTTATGAACTAGTAATGTAAAATCCAGGCAGAAGTAGAGTAGAAATACAAAGAGCAAAAATAAGCAATGATAATAAAAAAGGTGTTGTCTATAACAACCTGGGGATAAGTGTACATGGTGGATTTTTGTTCTTCACCATTTGCACCCTATGTACTCATTTCCTATTGATACTGAAAAGCTAAATTCTGTTTTTCCAAAGGACTGAAAATCAAATCCATGAGATGTGCAGGTACCTGACTCACATGGGCATCAAGAGGACCTTGTTAAAAAACTCTGTGGGCCCAGGGTCTGCATCTCGGAGCATCTCTCACATTTGAGCTGCTATTTGGCAGCAAGGAAAGGTATCCAGATTTGCTTTAGTATTAATGATTGTACAGGAGAGTCAGTATGGCTTAGATTCAGATCCATGGGTGAAATTAGCCTCTGATGTAACTATTCATCTCAGTGAAATTGCAGCAGGGTTGATTATAATTAGCATGACTGGCAAATGTAAAGTACTGTAATTTTTAAAGTCCAGTCACGTGGGCTCATGCACTTACAGTGGTCAGTATTTTCCTCCCTGCATTTTTATTCAAATGAGACATTTGGTTAAAATTCACTGTTACAAACATGTTTATGTAATTTCTCAGAATTTTGTGCAATTTTCTTAGAAACCTGTTCTTTTTAGCAGTTTTCTTGTACTATGCAATATCAGACAGCATTTTCAGCTTTTTTTTTATTTCCCTGAAACATTAAACTTTCTAAAGATGTTTTCTTTTTCTTCTTATGACTAGGACCTGTGGGACTTTCCTGTACTCCAGCAGAGAACAGGAACCTGAAGAAACATAAGCCAAGAAGCTGCAATTTCAAACTGAAGTCATGATACGACAGTCCTTTCTATATTATATGTAGAACATACATTGGTTGTCATCGTGATGCAAAGTCTCTATCAACTAGAGTCTGGGGAGGATGACTAATCAGAGATAAGATTCGAGATAATTTACAGAAACTGAGCTGGTTTAGAATGTTGTACAATGTACCAACAGTTTAATCTTCATAGCCCTTCACCTGTAAAGTCAAAGCATTTAGGCTCATTTACACCAACCGCTCACATTGCAGGGTCAGAGACATTCAGAACAGCTTCTGACGTAACCTAGAATAGCTCTGCTTCTTGTTTTTTTTTCTTTGTGCAGTCACTTGTAGCTTTAAAGTCTAATGTCTTGGGACCTCATCAAGCTCAGAGAGAGTGCTGTGTGAGAGATCTGCAACAGTGCATTCCTGTTTCTACTCCAGAGGAGATGAGGTCTGTGATGTCTGATGCTCATCTTCTCTCACTTTGAGTCAGCAGGCAGGAGCTGTCTGTGTTCAACATTTGGAATGAAGGAAAAAAACATACGCCTGTCTGGCTGCAGCTTTTAAAATAGCTCTGGGAAGCTGCTCCCTATTGCTTTGGAATATTTTGCCCATTGCTAAAGAAGGTGGAGTAATGGGAGGAGAAACATACTGTGGGCAATAAACTGTAATAAGTGTGATTTATTTCATGGCTGCTACCATTGCATTTATGATGCATGTATGTCTAGAGTCTGTATCTGCATGCAGAAATGTCTTTGTGTCCTTACACTACTAGATTCCTGTAGTGCCCACAGCTAGCAGTGAGCAGGCTATCTAGTCCATTGAAATAATGTTTTTTTTTTTCCTTTAAAAGCTAGAAATATACCT